AAAGTGAAGATAAGCAGGAGCGACTATACAAAGATATGGTCTTGGATTATCTTTCTAAAGTCTTTAAATGCACTCATGCGGATATAGTCAGGCAGTGTATTCCATAGCTTAGCTGAGAAGTATGAAAATGAATTAAGGTCATAACTAGTTGTTCTATGTTTTCTAAGTGACAGTATGTAATTACCGCAAAGATTATAAGAAGAGGACCGAAGTGAAAACATACCTCTCATATAAGCTGGAAAATGAGTGAAAAACAGGCTCTTGTACAATAAAATAAGGAGATTCTGGATACGCCCATTACTTAAGGAACTAGTGTTGACCTTAGTCAATGTCTCTGCATTTACACCATCAGAGTTGCACAGTGCCTTTGCAGCTAAACAACCATGATATAATATTCAGGGTTTGCAGAGGTTATTCTCCATTATTCTCTGGTCGAAATATTTACGGAAAATGTCCTTCCAAACTCTCCGAATAACTGCTGTACGTATGGAAGCGTTTATATGTTGTTATTGTCCTGCAGGAAGACCAGACCGTGCGGTATAGATTCTGATGAATTAGCATCAAGACAGGCTGTGTTGCTGAAAGACGTCATGGATGACAAACTGGTCTCTTGCTGCATCCTACGAAGCCTGATAACAGAAGGATCGGCAGGTAAATTACCATTTGAATTTGATTGGTCAAGATTAACTGAAAGAGAATATCGTGATCTGCTTTTTCGCCCCAAACCGAAGCACGCACTGGGGTTGGTGATTTCCGTATTAACTTTAAAGAAACACAGAAGTCGGATAAACTCTTTTCTGTATTCTCTATTACTGAGGCAATAAATCCATGGATTTAAGCAGGAGTTAGACATGGCTAAAATATTGGTAAATAAGTAGAACTCAAAGGGAAGTTTTAGAATCTCAAACTTGTATAAAATAAAAAATGTCTCTGTTGGAAGCCAGCATAATGTTAAAAAGAAGGCTGCCAGTGCACACATGCGCAGTAACCGTTTGGTGGCCTTGTTGTGAGAATTCAAATGGCGGCGAATGTTGGGTTGGCGCATGTGCAACCAAATGTCTCCAAAGGTTATCCAAGTGACTATGCTTGGGATGTAGAACGTGATGATCACGTGAAGAAGAATTAGGATCCGTTCAGTCCGCTCTCCGTAAAATGGAGTAACGAAGGTGCAAACAGCATCTTCTATTGTGGTGATGAAGAGTTCATTGATTTGAGTGATAGCGGCAGAGGCCCAGATTAAAGTAACGTACAGGTACAAACGTCGCTTACTGAAAGCTGTTTTGTAACGTATGGGCTTCACTATAGAGTACCAACGATCTATAGCTAGACACATAATCGTGGAAGTTGAAGCTTTACCAAAGATAAACAGAATGTAGGTTGAACCAATCAAACGGCAGTAAACCTCTCCTCCAAGTCCAATAGGGTAGGGAAAGCTTTTCCTGTCGATCAAGTAGTCTGGTGTAACAACAAGGAAGATCCCTGTTTAGAAAATCAAAATATCACTATCACCATCATTATGTTAGCTTTATTTCTGTCAAAGAATTACTCTTTGTGTGTGTCATCAAAGTGATTGTAGTTTTAGTCTGTCCTACTATTTGTCCTTTTCATTTAACCAAATGAAAATTTGGCGATCTGTAGCTCTAACGAAAAATGTTCTTTGAGTTTTCGATGTTTACTAGAGATAAGTGCAGGTTTATCTGAGAAGTGCGACATCTGTTTTGTCCCAACAAAAGGGAGAAGATGTAACTTCTCAGACTTTTCAATTTGATGGAGTTTGTAGTTTGTTTAAGAACATTTTGGGTTTTTTTTAAAATGAGATATTTACCCAAACGCTATTTGCTGGCCAATGTTGTCTGTCACCCTTCCGAAAACTATGAAAGCGAGAATACAACCTTTAACTTTATAAAGCAAAAACACAATCTTTTTCGCTAACTTTACAGCAATTTCCAGCGATTGGGAGTCGCATGGGGTGCAATGAAATTTATTCAGCTGGAAAGATGTCTGGCTGAACAAATCTTTGGTCTACAAGGCTGACATATACGTCAAAGACCCAGATACATCGAAAAAATAACAGAAAAAGGTGTTTGCATGGCAATTTCTCGAAGCTTTGAAACATTTTTCCCTCTCTCAAAAGGAAAACATTGTTAACAAAAATCCTATTAGAAATAGATTGATTACCGTTTTTGTAACTAAATCAATACAACTGCACTTTGTGTCACATTTACTGTTGTTGTGTATGACGCTGTGAAAGAGAGGCATAAATCATACTCGTACAACTGATCTATTGAAACGTACCTGTGAGCATATCAGCCAGGGCCAGGTTACAAATAAGAATATTGTATGTTTTTTTCAACATCGAGCGCTTCATAAAAATGACCAGACAAAGAAGCAAGTTGCCAAAAAATGAAAGGCCTGCGATCAATCCAAACGATGTTTTCATTATTACACTGTGGTCTTTAGCTCCAACAGAAATATTTCTGTGGACAGTTTGGTTAGTTGCACCCGCATCAAATGTAGCAGATACGTTGTTCATTATACTCAATTTCGTCAAGCAGCAAAAAATTCAAGTTGTCTCAAGGAAGGTTCGTAATAAACGTCGTTTTAGGGTCGGTAGACAAATATGTCTTCAATATCTCTTGTTTGTAAAGCTGCCAACTGGTTTGTATGGCTCACGTTGATTTGCTGAAAGAAATTTCCCGTTGTACATGTCGCAATGAAATCCGTTGAGAGGATTGATATGCGACAGAAGTCTGTCTAAACAATTTCACTTTGGGCCATGAACAAATATTTAATAGCCCTACCCACATAAAGATCACTGCCGCGAGATAGAACTTATATACATGTGTGACAATGGGAATGAGGAAATGGTAGGGACCGCGTGGGATCAAGAAATTTGTATTCGTTTTTACTCATGTCATCTCCTACGTTTAATGACTGAGAGAGGTAGTTTTATCGAAATTTTTGTTATTTAGCTCTTCCAGTAAAAGGAAAGATAGGTTTATTTTTAACTAACTGATAAAAAATTATTGAATAAATTGGACTTTTACGACGTCGTAATTCTCAAGAGATTGATCCCGCTACATTTAAGGCTCTGCGATGGGATCAGAAATTTAAAACTCATCGGATGTTAGAAAAGTTGCCAGATATGCACATTACTCACTGGCATTGATTTAAATCGCTTGAGAAGCTCAAAGTAATTGATTGCTCAGTATTATGGACCCTGATTTACGGAACTGACAAACTTCCTAAGAGTGATGGTTTGAGCTACTTCATGTTCACCTCTTCTTGTTTGTAGATCTCAGTATTGCAGATATTTTTAATAAACTTACTTTTTGGTCACGGGTCATCATCATTTGACTGACTGAACATGTCAATCCTTTTGCGAAACTGAGCTCTGCTAGTGTGACGTGTGACAGTTTCTTGACGTTTCTGTACGCATTTATTATGCACTGAAGTCAACGAGATACATAATTTTTTTTTTAAGTTGAATCTGCCATTAAAGATTGGTCCTACTCTTTTTGACGAGAAAAAGTTGATGGTTACGAATGTTTCTTTTTCTTTCTGCCGATTAGCGTCGAAGTTTAGCTCTCATTATACTTCACAAATATGAATGGAAATTTTAATTTTGATCTTGGCTTAAGATGACAAAAATTAAAGATTGACTTCATCTAAATAAAGAGATAAAAAGCGCTATTAACTGGGTTGCGAGGCGTAGTACTAAGAAGTTCTCATTGTCCTTAGTTATTAGAATCGAAGCCATCTGCTGACAATCTCCTTGTCTGATCCCCTCTGAATTGATGGGTGACGAATCCTAAACCCGGACTCTACTCTCGTAGCGATGACAATTGCGTTCTAGCTGATGAAATAATGAATATGAAATGTATTTTGCGAGGAAAGTACTTTTCAAACAATTATAAATCGAAATTGCAGATGATATTTGAATAGTAGGTTTTGTTTGAGGAAAAGTGCTTTAGAATATTAGCCAAGAAATGGAAAGCAAAAACAAATTCTAGCTTGTATGATGGTGGTTTGTACACAGTCTAACGGTAATCATAAATTTTACCATGCTTTTCTCAATATCTCACTGAATTCGAATGTGAAAAATTGTGTCATACTTATAGTACATGTAACAAACCTGTGAACACATCTGTGACAGCAAGATTCAAAACAAGAATATTGTAAGTCCTTCGTAACAACTGGCGACGCCTGTAGATGGCCACACATAGAAACACATTTCCCAGAAAGGAGAAAACTGCAATATTTCCAAAAAGAACTCGAAATATATCAACTTCTCTTTGGAATTGGTTCGACGGGTGCAGGGAACTTTCGTTACCTCTCGAGAAATTTGTTTTTAAGGTTAAGGTTCCCCGAGTCATTGTTGTGGCTGCATGTAGAGCTAGAAAAAGTGCTGAATTACACGAATTAATTTTCTCGAATGAGTTAAGGTAGAGATCATTTATTACAAATTTTGAATCATTTTGATTGACAGAAACTTATCGGCTGTTTGCAGCCGTTTGCTTGACCGTATTAAACCAGCCACAATATCTCGGGATTTGGTCTTAAGAGTCAACAAATTACAATAGGATGTAAATCTCTATAAAGTGAGGAAGCACGTTTGTGCAACGGTTCTTTTCGTGGAAAAGGAATCACCTGCTACCTTTGACTCTGAATTAAAACGGTTACTTCTGATGTAATAATTGTATGACAAATTTCCCAGTTGTGTGTAAAGAATAACAATTGTATCCTCCGAGCACACAGGATGATGTCAACAAAGCACGAGCCTAAATACTTCTTTGAATCTGAATTATTTCTCACGAGTTGTTAGCAATAGAAAAGGTTGTCCACTCATCGTTACATTCGATGCGATAAATGAGTAGGTGCGACTGTTCCAGCCAGTCGGTCGATCGGTCGGTGGTCAGTCACTCAGCCAGTTAGCCAGCAAGTCATGCAGCCCGCCTTCAGGCAGCCGCGTGCCAGTGAGTCAGTCAAAAACTAAGCAGATGACGCAGTCAATAGGACGGTGGGGAGTCGGTTGACTTTGCACGAATTTTAAGACGAGAAATTAACAGGCTATGTATTAGACAATTCTGGGGTTTTTGGATAAAGTTTTCACACTTCTGCAAAAATACAGAGAAAAGTATGATTTGCCGAGTTGTTTTGTTACTCAACAATGCAGTTTAAATTTCAAAATATCTTAACCGAAATTTTCAACATTTTTATCTTACTCTCGAGACATTCAACACTTTCTTGAAAGTTTCATCAAAGCGACAACAAATGGGTGAAGGTAAATATGTAAACAGGAGCCGGCTGCATTTCACGAGCGTAAACAGAACATGAAAAACAAACCTATGGTCTTTCATTCAGTTGACAATTTCAGAGTGATGTTTGACAGAGCGAGATCAGAGTACGGCTGAACCGTGCGCATGCCCACTCCAATTCTTTTGACTCGAACTGAAAGCCATTGCTCACACAACTTATTATCTAGATATATACCATAAGCTGCCCCCGATACCTCGAGTTGTTCGTTTGTTCGTTTCCCTTTGACTTATCATAGTTCTTTGAAACGTTTCCAGTGATGTGTGTATTGAGACAAACGGCCTTCATTTCAAAGGACATAACTTTTCAAAACTTTTTTCGGCTCGAATTCAAGAAAGGTCATCGGAAAAATAGCCCTAGATATTTAATTGTCGTTTAGTTTTTAGAATGATTCGAATCAGAAAGTGGTTTACTATATTTGGCAACAATTACAGAATGTCTATCTTTCCATGCAAATCTCTTGTCTCCTTTTCAAAAACTGATAATGTCAAAATGAAGATCACCTTTTTTTCTTGGGACCATTTGCGAATGGAATTCTCTGCCTTTAAGGATTGTTAATTCAAATATAAAAATTAACATATTCTTTTTTTATACCTTTTTTTACCGGCCTTTTTCTTTTTTTTTTTCTGATTAAGTTGCCCATCACGTAATTTACTTTTATGAAAAGTGGATATGAGGTCTCACGATTTTACAGACGTAATAAAATGTTGATACAAATCTTCCATTGATTTTAAATGTACCAAACAAATACAAGGCGGTCACGCCTGTAGAATCAACGTTACAACGTTATGTATAATGAATAATGCTCTGTATTTCTTTTGAAATGGTTGTATCAGTGCTCTTGGCCTCTCTCTAATCTAACAGTTGTGGTTCACAGCTCGTTTATTTCTTGATGCGAAAAACTCAAACGAAAAAACACCGAAACAAATCAAAACATAGTAACGAAGAGGCTTTCAAATTCCGTGATTTGCTTGAGTTTCACCCCATTTTGATAGGGTGTGAGCATTTGCTGCATCAAACGTCTATCTTACATCGGAAACACACCTATCATCCCCAAAAATACACACCAAAAACCAATGAACGTGCCTAAAACATCGTCATGACCTATAATATACTGTAACTGAGAAGGCTCGATTTGTCTAACCTGTTAACATATCTGTAACGGCAAGGTTTAACACCAGCATGTTGTAAGTCTTTCGAAGCAATGTTCGGCGTTTGCAAATTGCCACACAAAGGAGAATGTTGCCAAGGAAAGACCCAAATGCAATGCAACCAAAAGTAATTTTGTATACATCCTTGACATTGTAGTCAACTTTGTCGTGATGTTGACGAGATGCAAGAGAGAAACTTTCGTTAAAAGATGAGTTTGTGCTCAAATCCGTTGCTGCGTTCATCCTTAGAACGATGTGTTAGTAATTTTCTACCTCTATACACCCTGTTTCACAAACACGGAATGACTCCAGCAGACCAGAGCGCAGCAACTGTTTTATTTGCTTCTGAAACACCTGTCCAAACGGTCTTCATAGTTGGTTATCCGTCGATCTTTCTTGCTTTTTTTTCCCGGTTGATTTCTTTCCTTCCAATTTATTACAATAAATTCCTGGCTTTTTTTACCGAAGTTGGATATGTGATATTTCATAAATTTTTTCGGGACCATATTTCTGTAATTTAACTTTAACCGAGATGTGTGTACAGTCAAAATTTGGTTCTTTTTAGAATCGGAGCTTTTCCTTCCACTTGTATGTAAAGTTTTTTATCATTTGTTCAATTCTTTTTAACTGATGAAACATTAGGACAGAGGGTTCTACCGGAATAACTTCTTATGGCCAATAATTTTACTGACAGTTCTATCGAATTGACAGCTTGACTACTCTCACGTGCGACTTGAACTTAAGTGGTTCATGTGGCTCCTTGGAAATCATTTTCTGTCTGCTAATGTGTTTTAAGCTAGGAAATACAAAATTTTTGTCATTAAAGAGACAGGTGTGAAACTTCTATCAAACTGATTAAAACTGTGCTGTTTGATAAAGTAGAATTTCTTCTCTTTTCTCTGTTATCGAATTCAGTAAGTGTACAACTTTGATTGCATTTAAAAGAAGTGATAAAATGTGTAGGAAATGTTTA